CCCTTCCCCCCTTTCCCAGGGTCTGCTATGGAACCAGCTTTCAACTTCTTTCCCAGGATGTCCGCCTCCGATATTCCCCCCCTTCCACTTCCCCAAGGTGTTCTGCCTTTCCCAGGTCCGTGTGTTCGGGAGTCCAATCCGTTGTCCCCTCAGATGTTCTACTTTTCCCCACTTTCCGGGTCTGCCTTAGCAACCAGCATCTACTTCTTTCCCAGGAGCCGCCTCGGATATTCCCCCTTCCTTCAACATTCCCAAACGTGCTCGCGCTTTCCCGTCCATGTGTCAGGGTGTCCTTCCGTGTCCCTTCAGATTGTTCTCCCTTCCCCACTTTCCCAGGGTCTGCCTTAGCAACCAGTCTCTCCTTCTTTCCCATGAGTCGCCTCAGATAATTCCCCCTCCCCCCTTCCCCACTTCCCCAAGGTGCTCTCGGCTTTCCCAGGTCCATGTGTCCGGGAGTCCATCCGTGTCCCCTCAGATGTTCTCCCTTTCCCCACTTTCCCAGGGTCTGCCTTAGCAACCAGTATCTCCTTCTTTCCCAGAAGTCCGCCTTTCCCTTCCCCACTTCCCCAAGGTGCTCTCGCCTTTCCCAGGTCCATGTGTCCGGGAGTCCATCCGTGTCCCCTCAGATGTTCTCCCTTCCCCCCTTTCCCAGGGTCTGCTATGGCAACCAGTATCACCTTCTTTCCCAGGAGTCCGATTCAGATATTCCTCCCTCCCCCTTCCCCACTTTCCCAAGGTGCTCTCGCCCCCCCCCCCCCCCCTTTTCCATGTCCATGTGTCCAGGAGTCATCCGGTCTGTCCCCTCAGGGGAGTTCTCCTTCCCCACTTTCCCAGGGTCTTGCATTAGCAACCAGTATCTCCTTCTTTCCCAGGAGTCCGCCTCTTATATTCCTCCCTCCCCCTTCCCCACTTCCCAAGGTTTGGCTCTCGCTTTTCCCAGTGTCCATGTGTCCAGGAGTCCATCCGTGTCCCCTCAGATGTTCTCCCTTCCCCACTTTCCCAGGGTCTGCCTTAGCAACCAGTATCTCCTTCTTTCCCAGGAGTCCGCCTCAGATATTCCCCCCTCCCCCTTCCCCACTTCCCCAAGGTGCTCTCGCCTTTCCCAGGTCCATGTGTCCAGGAGTTCCATCCGTTTGTCCCTCAGATGTTCTCCCTTACCCACTTCCAGGGTCTGCCTTAGCAACAGTATCTCTTTCTTTCCCAGCAGTCCTCGCCGCAGATATTCCCCCCTCCCCTTCCCCACTTCCCCAAGGTGCTCTCGCCTTTCCCAGTTCCATGTGTCCGGGAGTCCTTCCGTGTCCTTTCAGATGTTCTCCCTTCCCCACTTTCCCAGGGGTCTGCCTTAGCAAACCAGTATCTCCGTCTTTCCCAAGAAGTCCGCCTTTCATATCCCCCCTTTTCCTTCCCAGTCCTCAAGGTACTCTGCCTTTCGCCGGTCCCAGTGTCGGGAGTCCATCGTGTCCCTCCAAGATGTTCTCCCTTCCCCACTTCCCAGGGTCTGCCTTCGCAACAGTATCTCCTTCTTTCCCAGGAGTCCGCCTCAGATATTCCTCCCTCCCCCTTCCCCACTTCCCCAAGGTGCTCTCGCCTTTCCCAGTCAGTGTCGGGAGTCCATCCGTGTCCCCGCAGATGTTCTCCCTTCCACACTTTCCCAGGGTCTGCCTTAGCAACCAGTATCTTCTTCTTTTCCAGGAGTCTGCCTCAGATATTCCTCCCTCCCCCTTCCCCACTTCCCCAAGGTGCTCTCGCCTTTCCAGGTCCATGTGTCCAGGAGAGTCCATCGTGTCCCCTCAGATGTTCTCATTTCCCCACTTTCCCAGGGTTGCTTAGCAACCGTATCCTCCTTTCTTTCCCAGGAGTTCCGCCTCAGATATTTCCCCCTCCCCCTTCCCCACTTCCCAAGGGCTCTCGCCTTTTCCCAGGTCCATGTGTCCCGGAGTCCATCCGTGTCCCCTTAGATGTTCTCCCTTCCCCACTTTCCCAGGGTCTGCCTTAGCAACCAGTATCTCCTTCTTTCCCATTTGTCCACCTCAGATATTCCCCCCTCCCCCTTCCCCACTTCCCCAAGGTGCTCTCGCCTTTCCCAGGTTCCATGTGTCGGGAGTCCATCCGTGTTGTCCCTCAGATGTTTCCCTACCCATTTCCCAGAGTCTGCATTAGAACCAGCCATTCCTTCTTTCCCAGGGATGCCCGCCTGGGATATTCCCCTTCCCTTCCCCATTCCCCAAGGTGCTCTTCGCCTTCCCAGGTCCATGTCGGGAGTCCATCCGTGTCCAGTCAGATGTTCTCCCTTCCCCACTTTCCCAGGGTCTGCCTTAGCAACCAGTATCTCCTTCTTTCCCAGGAGTCCGCCTCAGATATCCCCCCCCCCTTTCCCTTCCCCACTTTCCCAAGGTGCTCTCGCCTTTCCCAGGTCCATGTGTCCGGGAGTCCATCCGTGTCCCCTCAGATGTTCTCCCTTTCCCACTTTCCCAGGGTCTGCCTTAGCAACCAGTATCTCCTTCTTTCCCAGCAGTCCGCCGCAGATATTCCCCCCTCCCCCTTCCCCACTTCCCCAAGGTGCTCTCGCCTTTCCCAGGTCCATGTGTCCGGGAGTCCATCCGTGTCCCCTCAGATGTTCTCCCTTCCCCACTTTCCCAGGGTCTGCCTTAGCAACCAGTATCTCCTTCTTTCCATGAAGTCCACCTCTCATATTCCTCCCTTTCCCTTCCCCACTTCCCCAAGGTGACTCTCGCCTTCCAGGTCCATGTGTCCGGAGTCATCCGTGTCAGTCAGATGTTCACCCTTTCCCCCACTTTCCAGGTCTGCCTTAGCAAACCAGTATTCCTTCTTTCCCAGGAGTCCGCCTCGGATATTCCCCCCCTACCCCCCCTTCCCCACTTCCCCAAGGTGCTCTCGCCTTTCCAGGTCCATTGTTCGGGAGTCCATCCGTGTCCCCTCAGATGTATCTCCCATTCCCACTTTCCCAGGGTCTGCCTTAGCAACCAGTTATCTCCTTCCTTTCCCAGAGCCCGCCTGGATATTCCCCCCTTCCCTTCCCCATTCCCCAATGTGCTCTCGGCTTTCAGGTCCATGTGTCCGGGAGGTCCATTCCGTGTCCCCTCAGATGTTCTCCCTTCCCCACTTTCCCAGGGTCTGCCTTAGCAACCAGCATCACCTTCTTTCCAGGAGCCCGCCTCGGATATTCCCCCTTCCCTTCCCCATTCCCCAAGTGCTTCGCTTTCCCAGGTCCATGTGTCCGGTAGCCATCCGTTGTCCCCATCAGTGTTCTCCCTTCCCACTTTCCAGGGTCTGCCTTAGCATCCAGCATCTCCTTCTTTCCCAGGAGCCCGCATCGGATATTCCCCCCTTCCCTTCCGCCCACTTCCCCAAGGTGCTCTCGCCTTTTCCCAGGTCATGTGTCGGAGTCCGTCCGTGTCCTTAAAGTTGGTCTCCTCCCCACTTTCCCAGGGTCTGCTTAGCAAACCAGCATCTCCTTCTTTTTCCCAGGAGCCCACTGGTATTCCCCCCTTCCTTCCCCACTTCCCAAGGTGCTCTCGCCTTTGCAAGGTCCATGTGTCGGGTGTCCATTCCGTGGTCCCCTCAGAGGTTCTCCCTTCCCCACTTTCCGGGTCTGCCTTAGCAAACACAGTACTCCTTCTTTTCCAGGAGTCCGCCTCAGATATTCCCCCCTCCCCTTCCCCCACTTCCCCAAGGTGCTCTCGCCTTTTCCCAGGTCCCATGTGTCCAAAGGGGAGTCCCTCCGTGTCCCCTTAGATGTTCTCCCTCCCCACTTTCAGGGTCTGCCTTAGCAACCTGTTATCTCCTTCTTTCCCAGGAGTCCGCCTAAGAATTCCTCCCTCCCCCTTCCACTTCCCCAAGGTTGCTCTCGCCTATTCAAAACGTCCATGTGTCAGGAGTCCATCCGTGTTCCCTCAGATGTTCATCCTTACCCACTTTCCCAGGGTCTGCCTTTAGGCAACAGTATCTCCTTCTTTTCATGAGTCCGCTCAGATATTCCTCCTCCCCCTTCCCCATTTTCCCCGAAGGTGCTCTCGCTTTCCCACGTCATGTGTCCATGAGTCCATTCAGTTTCCCCTCAGATGTTCCCCTTCCCCACTTTCCCCAGGGTCTGCCCTTAGCCAACCAGTATCTCTTCTTTTCCAGGAGTCCGCCTTCAGATATTCCTCCCCCTCCCCCTTCCCACTTCCCCAAGGTTGCTCTCGCTTTCCCGGACCATGTGTCCAGGGAGGTCCATCCGTGTCTCAGATGTTCTCCCTTCCCCAGTTTCCCAGGGTCTGCCTTAGCAACCAGTATCTCCTTCTTTCCCAGGAGTCCGCCTCAGATATTCCCCTCCCCCTTCCCCAAGGGGCTTTCGCCTTTCCCAGGTCCATGTGTCCAGGAGTCCATCCGTGTCCCCTCAGATGTTCTCCCTTCCCCACTTTCCCAGGTCTGCCTTAGCAACAGTATCTATTCTTTCCCAGCAGTCCGCCGCAGATATTCCCCCATCCCCCTTCCCCACTTCCCCAAGGTGTTCTCGCCTTTCCCAGGTCCATGTGTCCGGGAGTCCATCCGTGTCCCCTCAGATGTTCTCTCTTCCCCACTTTCCCAGGGTCTGCCTTAGCAACCAGTATCTCCTTCTTTCCCAGAAGTCCGCCTCTCATATTCCCCCTTTCCCTTCCCACACTTCCTCAAGGTGCTCTCGCCTTTCCAGGCCATGTGTCCGGAGTCCATCCGTGTCCCCTCAGATGTTCTCCCTTCCCCACTTTCCCAGGGTCTGCCTTAGCAACCAGTATCTCCTTCTTTTCCAGGAGTCCGCCTCAGATATTCCTCCCTCCCCCTTCCCCACTTCCCCAAGGTGCTCTCGCCTTTCCAGGTCATGTGTTCCAGTTGTCCATCCGTTGTCCCCTCAGATGTTCTCTTCCCCACTTACCCTGGGTCTGCCTTAGCAAACAGTATCTTCTTCTTTCCAGGAGGTTCCGCCTCAGATATTCCCCCCTCCCCTTCCCCACGTCCCCCAAGGTGCTCTCGCCATTCCCAGGTCCATGTGTCCAGGAGTCCATCCGTGTCCCCTTAGATGTTCTCCCTTCCCCACTTTCCCAGGGTCTGCCTTAGCAACCAGTATCTCCTTCTTTCCCAGGAGTCCGCCTCAGATATTCCCCTCCCCCTTCCCCAAGGGGCTTTCGCCTTTCCCAGGTCCATGTGTCCTGGAGTCCATCCGTGTCCCCTCAGATGTTCTCCCTTCCCCACTTTCCCAGGGTCTGCCTTAGCAACCAGTATCTCCTTCTTTCCCAGGTCCAGGAGTCCAGAAGTCCATCTGTCCGCCCCCTTCCCCACTTCCCCAAGGAGCTCTCGCCTTTCCCACGTCCATGTGTCCAGGAGTCCATCCGTGTCCCCTCAGATGTTCTCCCTTCCCCACTTTCCCAGGGTCTGCCTTAGCAACCAGTATCTCCTTCTTTTCCAGGAGTCCGCCTCAGATATTCCTCCCTCCCCCTTCCCCACTTCCCCAAGATGGCTTCGCCTTTCCACCTTCCGTGTCCCCTCAGATGTTCTCCCTTCCCCCCTTTCCCAGGGTCTGCTATGGCAACCAGTATCACCTTCTTTCCCAGGAGTCCGCCTCAGATATTCCCCCCCTTCCCCACTTCCCCAAGGTGTTCTCGCCTTTCCCAGGTCCGTGAATGGATTGTGTCCGGGGAGTCCATCCGTGTCCCCTCACGATCCGTTTGTCTCCTTTCCCCACTTTCCCAGGGTCTGCCTTAGCAACCAGCATCTCCTTCTTTCCCAGGAGCCCGCCTCGGATATTCCCCCCTTCCCTTCAACACTTCCCAAACGTGCTCTCGCCTTTCCCAGGTCCATGTGTCAGGGAGTCCTTCCGTGTCCCTTCAGATGTTCTCCCTTCCCCACTTTCCCAGGGTCTGCCTTAGCAACCAGTCTCTCCTTCTTTCCCATGAGTCCGCCTCAGATAATTCCCCCTCCCCCTTCCCCACTTCCCCAAGGTGCTCTCGCCTTTCCCAGGTCCATGTGTCCGGGAGTCCATCCGTGTCCCCTCAGATGTTCTCCCTTCCCCACTTTCCCAGGGTCTGCCTTAGCAACCAGTATCTCCTTCTTTCCCAGAAGTCCGCCTTTCCCTTCCCCACTTCCCCAAGGTGCTCTCGCCTTTCCCAGGTCCATGTGTCCGGGAGTCCATCCGTGTCCCCTCAGATGTTCTCCCTTCCCCCCTTTCACAGGGTCTGCTATGGCAACCAGTATCACCTTCTTTCCCAGGAGTCCGATTCAGATATTCCTCCCTCCCCCTTCCCCACTTTCCCAAGGTGCTCTCGCCTTTCCCATGTCCATGTGTCCAGGAGTCCATCCGTGTCCCCTCAGATGTTCTCCCTTCCCCACTTTCCCAGGGTCTGCCTTAGCAACCAGTATCTCCTTCTTTCCCAGGAGTCAGTCTTATATTCCTCCCTCCCCCTTCCCACTTCCCAAGGTGCTCTCGCCTTTTCCCAGGTCCATGTGTCCAGGAGTCCATCCGTTTGTCCCCTCAGATTGTTCTCCCTTCCAACTTTTCCCAAGGGTCGCCCTTAGCAAACCAGAATCTCCTTCTTTCCAGGAGTCCCGCTCAGATATTCCCCCCTCCCCCTTCCCCACTTCCCAAGGTGCTATCCGCCTTTCCCAGGGTCCAGTGTCCAGGAGTCCTTTCCGTGTCCCCAGATGTTCTCCCTTCCCCACTTTCCCAGGGTCTGCCTTAGCAACCAGTATCTCCTTCTTTCCCAGAGATCCGCCGCAGGATATCCCCTCCCCCTTCCCCACTTCCCCAAGGTGCTCTCGCCTTCCTCGGTTCCATGTGTCCGGGAGTCCATCCGTTGTCCTTTCAGATGTTCTCCCTTCCCCACTTTCCCAGGGTCTGCCTTAGCAACCAGATCTCTTCTTTCCCAGAAGTCGCCTTCATATTCCCCCCTTTCCCTTCCCCACTTCCTCAGGACCCTCTCGCCTTTCGCAGGGGTCCATGTGTACGGGAGTCCATCCGTGTCCCCTCAGATGTTTCCATTCCCCACTTTCCAGGGTTGCCTTCGCAACCAGTATCTCTTCTTTCAGGAGTCCGCCTCAGATATTCCTCCCTCCCCCTTCCCCACTTCCCCAAGACCCAGTACCCCGCTACTCGCCTTTCCCAGGTCATGTGTCGGGAGTCCATCGTGTCCCTCAGATGTTTCTCCCTCCCCACTTTCCCAGGGTCATGCCTTAGCAACCAGTATCTTCTTTCTTTTCCAGGAGTCTGCTCAGATATTCCTCCCTCCCCCTTCCCCCTTCCCCAAGGTGCTCTCGCCTTTCCAGGTCATGTGTCCAGGAGTCCATCCGTGTCCCTCAGATGTCTCATTTCCCCCTTTCCCAGGGTCTGCCTTAGCAACCAGTATCTCCTTCTTTCCCAGGAGTCCGCCTCAGATATTCCCCCTCCCCCTTCCCCACTTCCCCAAGGTGCTCTCGCCTTTCCCAGGTCCATGTGTCCCGGGGTCCATCCGTGTCCCCTTAGATGTTCTCCCTTCCCCACTTTCCCAGGGTCTGCCTTAGCAACCAGTATCTCCTTCTTTCCCATTTGTCCACCTCAGATATTCCCCCCTCCCCCTTCCCCACTTCCCCAAGGTGCTCTCGCCTTTCCCAGGTCCATGTGTCCGGGAGTCCATCCGTGTCCCCTCAGATGTTCTCCCTTCCCCACTTTCCCAGGGTCTGCCTTAGCAACCAGCATCTCCTTCTTTCCCAGGAGCCCGCCTCGGATATTCCCCCCTTCCCTTCCCCACTTCCCCAAGGTGCTCTCGCCTTTCCCAGGTCCATGTGTCCGGGAGTCCATCCGTGTCCCCTCAGATGTTCTCCCTTCCCCACTTTCCCAAGGTCTGCCTTAGCAACCAGTATCTCCTCCCATTCTCTTCCCAGGAGTCGCCTCAGATTATCCCCCCCCCCTTCCCTTCCCCACTTTTCGAAGGTGCTCTCGCCTTTCCAGGTTCCATGTGTCCGGGAGTCCATCCGTGTCCCCTCAGATGTTCTTCCCTTTCCCACTTTCCAGGGTCTGCCTTACACGCAACCCGTATCTCCTTCTTTCCCAGCAGTCCGCCGCAGATATTCCCCCCTCCCCCTTCCCCACTTCGCCAAGGTGCTCTCGCCTTTCCCAGGTCCATGTGTCCGGGAGTCCATCCGTGTCCCCTCAGATGTTCTCCCTTCCCCCCACTTTCCCGGGTCTGCCTTAGCAACCAGTATCTCCTTCTTTCAATGAAGTCCACCTCTCATATTCCTCCCTTTCCCTTCCCCACTTCCCCAAGGTGCTCTCGCCTTTCCCAGGTCCATGTGTCCGGGAGTCCATCCGTGTCCAGTCAGATGTTCTCCCTTCCCCACTTTCCCAGGGTCTGCCTTAGCAACCAGTATCTCCTTCTTTCCCAGGAGTCCGCCTCGGATATTCCCCCCCCTTCCCACTTCCCCAAGGTAGGTGCTCTCGCCTTTCCCAGGTCCATTGTGTTCGGAGCAGTCCATCCGTGGTCCCCCTCAGGGTATTTTGTTCTCCCTTCCCCACTTTTCCCCAGGGTCTGCCTTAGCAACAGTATCTCCTTCTTTCCAGGAGCCCGCCTCGGATATTCCCCCACTTCCCTTCCCCATTCCCCAAGGTGCCTCGCCTTTCCCAGGTCCCATGTGTCCGGGAGTCCGCCGTGTCCCTCAGATGTTCTCCCTTCCCACTTTCCCAGGGGTCTGCCTTAGCTACCAGCATCTCCTTATTTCCCAGGAGCCCGCCTACGGGGGGGGGGGATTTCCCCCCTTCTTTCCCCACTTCCCAGGTGCTCTCGCTTTCCCAGGTCCATGTGTCCGGTAGTCCATCCGTGTCCCCTCAGATGTTCTCCCTTCCCCACTTTCCCAGGGTCTGCCTTAGCACCAGCATTCTCCTTCTTCCCAGGAGCCCGCATCGGATATTCCCCCCTTCCCTTCCCCATTTCCCCAGGTGCCTCTCGGCCTTTCCCAGGTCCATGGTCCGGCAGAGTCCTTCCGTTGTCCCTTAAGATGTTCTCCCTTCCCACTTCCCAGGGTCCCTGCCTTAGCAACAGCATCTCCTTCTTTCCCAGGAGCCGAATCGGAATATTCCCCCCTTCCCTTTCCCCACTTCCCAAGGTGCTCTCGCCTTTGCCAGGTCCATGTGTCCGACGGAGTCCAATACCGTGTCCCCTCAGATGTTTCCCTTCCCCACTTTCCCAGGGTCTGCCTTAGCAACAGTATCTCCTTCTTTTTCCAGGGCGTCCGCCTCAGATATTCCCCCCTCCCCTTCCCACTTCCCCAAGGTGCTCTCGCCTTTCCCAGGTCCATGTGTCCAGGAGTCCCTCCGTGTCCCTTAGATGTTCTCCCTTCCCCACTTTCCCAGGTCTGCCTTAGGACAACAGTATCTCCTTCTTTCCCAGGAGTCCGCCTAAGATATTCCTCCCTCCCCCTTCCCCACTTCCCCAAGGTGCTCTCGCCTTTCAAACGTCCATGTGTCAGGAGTTCCATCCGTTTGTCCCTCAGATGTTCTCCCTTCCCACTTTCCAGGGTCTGCCTTAGAAACCAGTATCTCCTTTCTTTATTCCAGGAGTCCGCCTCAGAATTATTCCTCCCTCCCCCTTCCCATTTCCCCAAGGTGCTCTCGCTTTCCCACGTTCCATTTGTGTCCAGGAGTCCATCCGTGTCCCCTCAGATGTATCTCCCTTCCCCAACTTTCCCAGGGTCTGCCTTTAGCAACCAGTATCTCCTTCTTTCCAGGAGTCCGCCTCAGATATTCCTCCTCCCCCTTTCCCCACTTCCCCTAAGGTGCTCTCGCCTTTCCAGGACCATGTGTCCAGGAGTCCATCCGTTTCCCCTCAGATGATTCTCCCTTCCCCAGTTTCCGGGTCTGCCTTAAGCAACCAGTATCTCCTTCTTTCCCAGAGTCCGCCTCAGAATTCCCCTCCCCCTTTCCCCAAGGGGCTTTCGCTTTCCAGGTCCATGCTGTCCATGAGTCCATCCGTGTCCCCTCAGATGTTCCCTTCCCACTTTCCCATGGCTGCCTTTAGAACCAGTATCCTACTTCTTTCCCAGCGTCCGGCCGCCAGATATTCCCCCATCCCCCTTCCCCACTTCCCCAAGGTGTCTCGCCTTTCCCAGGTCCATGTGTCCGGGAGTCCATCCGTGTCCCCTCAGATGTTCTCTCTTCCCCACTTTCCCAGGGTCTGCCTTAGCAACCAGTATCTCCTTCTTTCCCAGAAGTCCGCCTCTCATATTCCCCCCTTTCCCTTCCCCACTTCCTCAAGGTGCTCTCGCCTTTCCCA